AGTAGTAGTAGTAGTAGTAGTAGTAGTAGTAGTAGTAGTAGTAGTAGTGGTGTGTAATTAATAGTTGGTTTTGGGCATGTTTATTCCATGCCCAGAGTCATTGTTGGACTCCTGGTGAATTTGGCTCAAGCATGGGCAGCATCCCATGCTGTGCTCAAGATGCTTTCTTTAATACGTTCTGGCGCCTTCCTTGCTTAGCCGCCAGCAAGTCTACTTCCATGTTGATCGTTTGGTCAAGCCTTCTAGTTGTAGCGGCAGGAATAGAGCTATCGGTTTTCCCGAACGGCAAGGTCTCCCAAACCTCTTTGCTGCAGCGGGAAATATCGCTCCATGCCTTGGAGCCAACCCAGCTGTTGGCCTACTATATCAATACAGATCGTGAAGAAGAGCGGCGAAAGCATATGGAAGCGCAGGGCAGGAGTGCCAAGCTTCCTTTGCTGAGATTCAAGGCCATTGATCGTGAAAGGATCAATACAGGAGAGTTTGACGACAAGTACATCAAAAAACAAAACCTTTCAAGCGAGCTGCGAGACCCCACGCGGCACAACGATCACGTCGCGAACGCCACTGTAGCTTGCTATGTCAGCCACTCTGAGCTGCTGGAGAGTCTTTTGAGGCAACTTCAACCGCATCAGATCGGATTAGTCTTGGAAGATGATGTAGAGATACCGCACAACTGGGAAGAGCTCATTCAAACCTCTTTGTCATGTGCTCCAAGTGATTGGGCATTGCTCAAGGTCTCCGGCTGGGGCTACAATCGAGCTTCTGATCGACAGCTCAATGCAGGTGAAGATGCTGCAAACTCCACCTCGATGGGTTTGATGTCGTGGCTGCAGAGTCAAGGCGGCTGGATGTCACGGATTCTATATGGAGCACCAGCACGCAAAGGAACCATCAAGAAGAACATTACCCAAAGTCACAAGCTGATTCAGACAGCCACAGAGACATTTGCAGCACAGGGTTCTGCTGAATTTGTAGAGCTGCTGGAGAAATCCTTCAAAGATGCTCCTCCTGAAGACCCTGCCAATGAAGAAGGCACAGAAGGCAGCTGTCCAGATGCTTATTTGATGCGCAAGCCTTTCAAGGAAACCTTCTGGTGGCACTTTTGGGGTCCAGCTTTTCACTATGCTGGCACTGGAGCATACTTGGTAAAGGCTGCATCCATCCCAGCCATTCTGACCCATCTTCGTGCACAGCCCATTGCTGACATTGACGGAATGCTTCTGTCAAAGGGTGATTTGCGTGCCTATGAACTTTGGCCGCACATTTTCCCTCTTGATTATGATCACATGAAGTCCACAATGAAGGAGACATCCACCAAATCAGCGGGCCTCTTGGATAGTTTGTCTGATCTTTTGCCCGGAGATGGTGAGGGTCAGAACAGCTCGTCGCCAAGATTGATGCGCACTGCGAACAACTCAAAACAAGATGCGAATTGACATCGGATGCCCACAATGGATGCCCACAGCGGATGAGTAGTTTGGTAGAGTCCGTTGTCAGAATCGGGCGTTGATTTGACTCTGCAGAACCTGAGTGAAAAGTAAACATGTGCCACCTCGATGTGCAAGTGGCAGACATATGCACTGGCATTTGGAGACTGAAGTTTCCTGAACTGGCCAAAGTGGGCAAGGTACCCTTTAAGTTTCTCTTTGCTTTCTCTTTGTGACTCTCATTGTCTTCCGATGTATCTATTTCTTGGGGAAGACCGAAAACGACACACCGTCCCTTGCGACCCCCTGGAGCAACCCCTTCGACCGAGGAGGGGCGAGACGGTGGAGCTGTTCGGCTGGGACGCGAGCAGAGCGTGGCGTCGATGCCCTGCAGATGCGAGCCTCAGACGCACTGGTTGATGAAGGGTCGCCCCGTTCGTAGCATTCTGGTTACTATAGTAGTAAGGCCAGGAGCCCCATTCGTAGCGTCCGATCGCTCCTAGTAGTAAGGCCAGGAGCCCCTAGTCGTTTTGTTTTATTTCGGGTTTCGAGTCGATGAAGATGTCAATGTGAGGCCGTCCTGAGATCTAAATGAGACATGAAAAACAGTTCGGCAGGTTGATGGGTCGGTGTTACAGGCCGTGTTTTCCTTGCAGGTGGTACTTGTACTTTGATTTCAGAAAAGGAGAAAAGAGAAGGGGACCTTATTTCAGCGGTCCTTTCTTCTCTTTTTGCTCTCTTTTTCTTGAGACGTCAAAGGGAGGGTAGGAAGCTACTAGTAACAAGTGCCACGCTACTAGTAACAGGTGCCATACTAGTAGTAACAAAGAAGCTATTGGAAACAAGTGCCTTACTAGTAGTAACAAGAAGCTATTAGAAACAAGTGCCTTACTAGTAGTAACAAGAAGCTATTGGAAACAAGTGCCTTACTAGTAGTAACAAGAAGCTATT